AATTGAACATGAGAACTGAACTTAAGAAGAAGTATGATTAGTTGCTGATGAGAGAGATCAGTTACTTAAGAAAGTTTCAGACTTTTCAACAGCTGAAAACTCAACTGGTTCTCAATCTCAGTGTAAAACTTGCTTTTATAATTGTTCCAGTGTTAAATCCAATAGTTATTCAAGCAGTCCTAAATCAACTGTTTCTAAGAACAAGTCTCATTCTTCAAATCAGTTTTATCAAGGGWATGTCATTGGATCACCCAATAATTTTTCAAAAGTTAAACAAGTATGGGTTAGTAAAGCTGATTCAGTTGTGTCTTACACCTGTTGTTACTAACTCTGTTCTTTCTTGCATTGTGAGATCCACTAATGATTTGATCAATCTTAGAAAGAGAAGAATTATGTTCTCAACATGCAGAACCAATGATTTTGTCAATAAGAAAAGGTTCAACAGGTGGCATGGAGATAACAGCTATCAGAACAGTTAGAAAGGTAAGAACATGTATGATCACAATAACTGGTATGGGTCATATTCTATTTCTGATCATCCTGTTCAAAGTGTTAAAAAGAATATATCAAATAGAAATAGATGGTTTGGAAGTTACAACATACCCCAGCCTGACACTAACAAAATAGGATCCAAATTCATTTGGGTACCAAAATATATTTGATCTGGTTTTGCAGGTGTGTCAAGTTTGTGCTGATCAGAAAATCATTTCTTTGATACACTAATGCAGGGGGAGTTGTACATTGTCCAACAAAAAGGCTTCTGAACAATTCAGTTCAGGACCCACGCTTAACTGATTGTGGTTTCTAAACACTCAGTTTATGACCCGTGCTTAAAATGTTTTCCTTATTCTTTTTAATTTTTTGAGCTTAACTGAAACATTACAATAATCTACTTTCTAGGAGGAGTCTCTAGAAAGTTCAATAAATGTTTTTCGGAAAATAATTTTTTTTGGTAACGTGTACATTTTTCTAAACAGATATTTCCTGAGATTTTACTTGCGTAATTTCTCATCGTACATAACTCCAATACCTGTTTCAGCTACTCTTCAAATTGTTATTATCACGTCTCTTAAAATGAAAATCATTTTCGGTGATAATACGCTCGTTTGTATTCAAAGTTTGTTTTCTGATTTTTTTTACTTTGATTGATATACATTCAATAATTTTTTTTAATATCAGATTCTGTAAACTTGTTCTTACAGATCTTCATTCATTTCTCTCACATACTGAATAATCTGAATTTCCGTTTCACTCCTTGTTTGTTTGGGCACTAAAGTTACATTTTGATCAATTTTTATCTGATCATTGGGGTTTACAGAAATAATATTTTGATCAACTAAGCATACTGCTAATTTTTATGAGGGACTGAGTGCTTATCAGAAATACCTCTATGGAATGTCAGAACCGACAAACCTACCCATGAGGACAACCATATTTGAGTGAGCTTTATACACAAAAGGGTTTGTGTGCTGAGACTAAAATGAAAATGAGAGGGGTAGTTGTTGTGAGCTAAAAAAATTGACGAGAGTTGTGTCAGGATTAAAAGAACATAAGAATCTTGCTCCAAACTTCTAAAATCCGGGCATACCACACAATCTATTAGTTCTCAATTTTTTCGAGACTAGTATTGAAAAAGGCAAAGCTCATGCCAATTCTTGTCACAACCCCACCAGTTACTCATTTATCTCTCAACAGATAAGTGTTTCAATAACACTTGGGGCAC